CTGGAATTTCTCTTGCTGGAAAGATTTTGTTAATTAGCGTTCTTGGAATTGGTGATTCTGAGAAGGGCAACTTCAGCTGATTTTACAGGCATCTGCTTGTTAATGTGTCTGTTCAAATAACTGGAAAATACCAAGTGGCAATTTTATTAGTTTTTCAAAGAATGACCTGCGCTATTTAGACTTGTTCACTTAGGAGAGTTGTACCAACGTGTAAAATCATAGCTCAGTTTAATAAATGTGAAAGTGATTGTGACATGAGATATTGGTATATTTCTTTGCAATGCTTAATTTTTTGGTGATGCTTTTAGGAAGATTATTCCACATTATCATATGGAACGGAAAAATTGATGAGAAGTGGATGTCTCCTTAGTGGGCCTGCTTATCAGCAGAGGCTGGATAGGTCACATCTGCAAATTAAGCGTTCTTTATTTTGTTCTTATCACTAAAATGAGGTGCTGTTACAAGAACATTATTTCCATAGCTTTGGTAGTCATGCATTATTTTTTTTTTTTTTCTTAATCTGAAGACAGATCCTTAACAGGGTAATCTAAGGTAAATTCTAAAGGTCAGAAATTTCCTCAAAATGCAAGTACTCTGGTAATTAGGTAAAACCTGCTAGGTATACAATTTCTATTAACTACAAGGTCAGTTATGCATCAGTGGCTGCCTCCAAACATCAGGTATGATGTACTACGGTGGATTTTTAAGTGACATAAAAGTCACTTTCTATCTCCCCACTATTTTTCATTGTCTAAACTCAAGATGGTGGCAGTGAATTCAAACCATCTTCTACCCAAGGCTGGCCCACCATGCTTACAGTTAGTAGAAAAGCACAGAGACAGTGTTCAGCCAGGGTCTGTGATGTCTGACTTCATTTCATTAACAGTGGTCTCAATGCCCTGATTAATTGCATTCTGATGTGCTCTTATTTACTTGTAAACATTTGATGAACCTAAATCCTTTTCTTTGATCAATGCTTTGGAGCCTTAAAACGTCATGGAGGTGTCTACTGAGGTTTACTGCTTTTAATGTGTTTAAAACGAAACTTTTTCTGTGTTTGCTACTTTTCTCAGAATTGCACATGTTTTCTGAATTAGGATGTATTCTTGGAAGTGGTGTTCTCAGAGAAGCTGGCTGGCTTCTTTCCTGAAACTCGCTGCTTAACAAAACCAGTTGTCTTCACACCACCCTCATCTACACTTCTGCTAAAAAATCTTAGCAACTTGCTGTAATTGAGAGTATCAGAAGTGCATTATGCTGCAAACATATCTTGTCCTATTAGGTGTGCACACTCCCAGAAAACAAGTGGAAGTTACTGAAGTGATATAACTCCTCATGCTCAAGGTCTATGACCACTTCATCAAATGAATATTCACTGGCAATGTTAGCTGGAATGTTTAAGAGCATTTTTAAAAAGCAAAATGTGGGCATACGTGCAAATCTTCAGTAGCTTCACTTTTCAGCTGATGGAAATATGGCATCCTCACCTGGGATAGCTTTGTTGCTGAGAGAAGGTATTCTTACTGATTCACACCCCCAAACTCATTTCTCTTCTGTGAGAGTCACTGCCAGCTGATCAAATTTTGTGGAGTTTTTGGGCCAGAAAAACGAAAAGATTAAAAATGTATTGACCACTGTGTGATAGTATGGAGGTGCTGTTTAGTTTGGGGGTTTAGGGGTTCGTTTGGGGTTTTTGGTCTTGTGGGTTTCGTTATTTGGTTTGTTGGTTGGTTTATTGGGTTTTAGGGGTTTGGTTTTTTTTGAGCATGCTGTCTCTAGATAGTAAAACAGAAAGCCTAGAACTGATTTCTTACGTGTTGGTCTGCTGAGTCCATAGAAAAACAAAGCAGGTAACTTTCTGTGGCAGAAAAAGGGAAGGTAGAAAAATCACATGCTTTTTTCCTGGATATTACTCTAGTAATTTATCTTTTCTCTCCTTCATACTCAGCAATTGAGAGACTGAGATAGTTCTGTACTTTATTTTCATGTTGTAAACCATCTTCTCTTTGAGAAGCTGTCAGAAGGACTCTGTTGTAATCATGAGGCATTTCCAGTGATGACAGAGGCAAGGAGTATTTCTTTCCGGACTGATTTAGACTATGTTTTCTACAGAGAACATTTCAAAATAATGACTGAACTGGAAGGTACTTAGGAAAGAAATGTGGTAAGACGGTACCTACATGATGACCTTATGAAATATTTTGTTTTGTGGCTCCCATACTTTTGTTGCACCCCTTTTTGATTGTGGGGAACTAGAGGCTTAAAGATGATAGAAAGTACCCTTCAGAAAAAGAAAAATCTGTATATCACAGGTTTCTTAATGTTTATTATAGCATTTGTTGTGTTTACTTGAAATTTATAGTATCTGGGTACCTGTTTTCTGGTTTTTTTTCTCTTCACTCATGTGTTACAGTTTGGATGGAATTAATTGGTTTCGTGCATGGAAACTTCTGTTTGTTGCTACCAGCAGGATTTTGTGTGTCCAGCATCCCCAGAGAAGCAGCTTCAAAATAAGAAAAGTAACAGCCATTTCTTTGTGGTTTGATTTTTTTTCTTTTTTTTTTTTTCGGACTGCATCCTCATGAAGGAGGCTTGATATTTTAGGATCTTTTGCTGGCTTGTGTATTTTTTTAGCTTGTGTATTCTGACCTTTTGCTGTCATATCCCCTCTCAGTTTTAGGAGAAGAGAGGAACCTGAGAGTCTCTGGAAAAGGTAGAAAAAAATGGTATTTAGAAGGGTAGAAAAATTGTTTAGAATGTTGTGTTGCCTAGGTATCTTGCTAATGAGGATTCTCCCTGTAGAAACTTGGCACTGCTTTCAAACTGCTCTTCTGAGTAGTCTGAAAGAACCTCTTTGGCAGGCTCCTACCAGGAACCAGAAACGATGACATAAAGACCTGACGGGTTCTCCTCAGACAGCAAGGTCAGCCAGCAGCCCCTCGCAAACACTGGTGAGAAGGGCTAACCTCGTGGCTGGGAGAGGTGAAGGCGCCTGCTTTGGTCCCGGTGCCGATGGCTGCCTACCGCGCTGCTGGGCTCTTCGCAAACTGCCGCAGCAGTGCGCTCCCTTCGTAACCGTCGTTGGGAGAGGCTTGTGAGAAGGAGACGTCTTGCAGACATTTAGCTACCTACAAACATGCCTTTGCTGAGCTAGGTGACAAAGACTGTCTCATGGCGAACTGGTCTTTATAGCAAGTCAACCCCTTGGTGGCGTCTAGCTGCAGGCAAGTGTGATGGAGAGGGCAGAGGCTGGACAGAGACGAACTAGAAAGAAGACATGAAGAGGAGTTAGGCAGGAGACATAAAACGGTATCACTCAGGGGCAGTGGGGGAGATGAAGAAGCAGGGGATGACAAAGAACTCCTCTGCAGCAGGAAGGCACCAGGGATTTGGGGGACTTCTTCCCCATCTTTTCCCTATACTTCTATTTCATGCCACATCTTACATTTGGTTGT